TATACATTTCTGGCATACACATACACATCATTAGAGATGGAATGGATTCATACCTTTGCACTGCTCCAAATCGTCGAGGGGTCGTGGCACACACCAGTGACAACGAGTGCTTCATTTGGGCCGACCTTTCGGAATCCACAGCCCAAAGGATGTTCCAGCGGGAAGCAACAAAAGCACATGCTGCTTTGTATTGTTGTATATTATAGTGCAGGTCCGTGAGTTAATGCTGTTAATGTCGTTATTGTTGTGTATCGAAGTCTTTAATATGTAACTATAGTATCAATTACCGCTACTTAATTTAAACTATATAAATGTGGCATGCATTGCGGGGCAATGTTGGTCTCAGTGGTGATTATTACTTGAGACGGGAATATATGGTACAAACAATTGCAATTAGTATATTTCAGATGATCTGTATATACGCACATATGTCATAGATACTTTATATGCATATTAGCCACTGTTGTAGTACATAAAAGAAACATGAAGTCGAAATATCATAGTCTTCTGAATTATACAATGCGGCTATGTAAATACATTATATATTCACACAAGTTTTCAAAATAAATGCATCATTATTTCATTATGCTTCTTTCATTGAGTATTGCCTTTTAATTGGCCATTGCTTTCGCGCCCTTTATGTGCACAAAGGGCCTATGGCCCTAAGCAGTCCATGACTCCATGAGTTACAGTAACAGAGGTCAGACCGTCAGAGGGTACGATTTATTTGTTTATTGTGTTGGGCCGAAAGCAGTCCAATTCTCGTTATAACGATTAAATCCCGTTTTTTTAAATTAAAAAATAGCAGCCTATTAACACTATATTTACATAATTACACACGAACATTATGTATTCCAGAATTTTAAATTTTGCGTTGCCGTTCAACGTTTACTGCATGGGGTACAAAAAGAAATGACGTCATGGGTTGGGCCTTTATTTATTCGTGAATCGTCATGGCAATTTACTCGAAAATGTGGGGGACTACGGCCCTACGCCCTACTACAGACGGTATATGGGCCTTCTTAGACTTAGAATTCTGTTTTTAACTTCAAAAAAAAAGGAGATAAATATCAGGTGTATTAGTCAAATTGAGAGGGCTATTGTACCACGAAGTCAAAATATGTACACATTCTCGAGTGTGTGTCACTATATATGTCATTTGATTTGAAGTGATAAGCTATGTGTATATAACTATGTGTATGTAAAAGACTCTTGATGTTGTTTCAAAAAGGGTCTCGATAATAGAAATTGTACATTGTATACACGCAACAGTGCATATTGTCCAGCACCAACCATAAATTACTAATGAACCAAATATGAGGTTTGCAGCGGGGGGTCTCGGAACCACACATATATGACAAGAATATCAAAGTGAGAACCTAATGCAGCCTTGTATATCTGTTATTCCATCTAGTATATCACATACACATACTAGTGTATGTATATACAGTCCAAAAGATCGTGATGGTAAAATCGGTAGGTTGGTACGGTGTTGCTCTGGCCCTCAGTATATGGGCCTTTGCGGACTATGGACTGGTCTATGTGTACCTGTCGAGATGTACCTGGCCGGAATACAAGTCAAATGAGCTGAGAGCGCTTGTTATCTCGGGTAATCAACCCTTGCAGGCTGTATTAAAAATACTGTACGTGCATACTGACACACACACACACACACGTATATATATCTACATACATACATACATACATACATACATACATACATACATACATACATGCATGCATACATGCATACATACATACATACATACATACATACATACATACATACATACATACATACATAC